TCTCCCCCTCCCCTGGTCCCCCCATACCATCTCTGTCTGCCGCACCTCAAAGGATGGCTCCTCCCCCTCCAGCTCTCCCCCTTCGTCCTCCTCACCAATGTGGCAGCTCTGCAGGGAGACGGCAGCAGGTCAGCGGCAGGTTCACGTCACATCTGCCCCCCTTTCCATTAAGTTTGAGTTCATGACGCAAGAGGAAGCCTCACCTTTGCCATAATATCAGCGTAAGACATATAAAGATGGTCGACGTCCAGTTTACTGTAACGAGACGAGAAACGTCAGAGACCAGCCCACGCCCCACAGGTGAGGACAGAGAGACACTCTTACGTCTTCTCCGTGAGGGCTGTCCGGCTGAAATGTAGAATCAGCTGATGAAGGGGATCAGGCTTCCTCTCCGTCTCCTCTTCCTCCTCCTCCTCTTCCTCCATGGCTTTCTGGTGAGAGAGGAATGAATCAGGACAAGCGACACAGAAGCACAGCACACACGGGGAGACGGGTTTCACCGAAAGGTCATCAATCATCTTGTCCTCAAACGAGTAGCCTTCCGTTTCCAACCAGTTGCGTTTGTAAGCATCCAGAAACATGTTGATGGCTCTGTGCCTGGAAGAAAACGGGACTTTTAGCGAGTTCTGTCGCCGCCATCGTACAGCCGTTGGATTCGGGATGAGGGAAAGTTTACGTTGGGATGTTGTAGAGCGGCGTCATCCTGAAGCACGCCACCACCGCCCTGCGGCGCTGCTTCGACAGCAGCTTGTGCCAAACCATCTTCTTCGACTTGAAGGGGTGCTCGGTCTGAAGCGTGAACACACAACACCTGACTATGGGACAGTCCCCCCCCCCCGTGAGCACGTGTGCAGGTCACCTCAGATGCGGTCTCTACTCACCACCTCGATGTGATAAAGGACCGCCGACACCTCTTGGACCCTTTTCACCACCTTCTCAGGATCTTCAGCATCCTCGGCCTTTCCAGACATCTCCTTGTAGAGCGCCATCTGCCAGCGCATGGCCGGGTCCTCCACCTGGACCAGGACACGACGAGTACAGTTCTATCAGTGAGTTCATGGTGAACGCTCAGGTGTGAGACCACTCACCTTGCCCTGTAGATGCAGATTGTTGTGCAGGAATTCCCTCACTTCTTCATCCGTGTCTTTCTACACGATAAAAGTGACGGAAACGTATTAATTAGTAAAAAAAACTAACCATCCTGTGGTTAAATCAGAGATTCAACAGCTGATGGAAATGTCCCGAATTTCTAACAACTTTATCTTCTTACATCTGTTGTCCCTTCAACAGTCCCATGTCACATGCATCAACTCTCCACCAACGAATCAACCCATAGAGTTCGCTCGTTTCCATCTTTACACACTAAAACGGACCAAACTGGGCTCGAATGCCTCTAAGTACCAGTGAGTATCGGATCTTGGCGAGGTTGATGAGCTCCTGGTCAGCAGGAGAGCACATGTTCAGGCCGATGGGAAGCATCTTCTTCAAGGCCGCTACGATCAGGGAGGTCTGCACCGAGTACCGATCCCCTCTTCTCTTCTTCTTGGTGCGCTCCTCTGAGCCTCCGGACTGAGGAGGAGGAGGAGGAGGACAAATCCGTGAGAATAACGCAAGCATCCGTTTCAGAAAACAGTTCTGGTGTTTCAGACGCGTTTGGAGTCCACTGACACCGGGCTGCCCGGGGGTGTGCCTGACTTTAAATCACCTTTACTAAGGAGGTCAATCAGCTGACCCCCAATCAGAAGACCTTCACTCTGCTTCTAATTAAATCCATAAACAACGTTTTAACGATGTTTATAAAAGTGATTTATGAATGCTGCTCATGTGGAACTTCCTGTTAACAAATACAGACCATTAAAGAGCAACAGCTGTTGTTTCTAACAGAGTGGAGACAGTTGGACAAACGGTGATCTACTGTCTCCCTACACTGTGATCCCCCACAGGAACACACATGCATTATTCTGAACAACTCAGATCTACTTATAGCCTCTGGTCTCCGTGGTTACACTGTAAAATATTTATATAAAAACAAATACAAGTGTCAGATTATTAAATGACCCATATCAGTATTAAGGACAATAAAAACATAACAGGATAAGGTGGACCGATGAATGAAGGTGCAGCTCCTGCTGTTAAACACACCCCAGCCTTGCTGTTAGTCTCGCAGCGACTCTCTCCCCTCACCGTTTAAACCCAGAAAGCATCTCTGTCTGATGACTGAAGGCACATGGCATTAAGACTTTCCCTTATATCTAAAGACTCCATCAGCACCCATAGAGACATCAACCAGTGATTAGATGCTGAGACATTTAGGAGGTTTAATGGTGTCAATGGGATGTAATGAGTCCAGTTAGTCAGCTGGTCCCCCCAAAACGATGGAGCAAGCGGATCTAGCAGAAGCAGTGAGGAACGTTATGGTTTCTGAGTGCAGACACATCACAAAGTACTGAGAAGAGGAGAGACGCGTCCACCGGCGAAGAGTCCTTAACCACAAAGCTGTAAGAAAACCAAGCGTCAGTGAGAAACGAGGACAGACAGCTCAGACGCTGCGTCGGACGATCTGAAGGCAAACGGCGTCATCGGTCAAACAAAACCAGGGCGATGGCGCTCGGCTGCAGGAGAGCACAGCCCAGCGCCATGACACCTCTCAGGTTACAGCTCAGAGCTTTCATCAAACCTCCCAGAGCCCGTAGTCTCTCTCACACACACACACACACCTACACACAGACACACCTACACACACACACACACACACACACGTACACACCTACACACACACACACACCTACACACAGACACACCTACACACACACACACACACACACACACACGTACACACCTACACACACACACACGTACACACACACACGCACACACACCTGCACACGCACACACCTACACACGCACACACACGCACACACACCTACACACACACGCACACACACACACACACACACACACACACACACACACACACACACACACACACACACACACACACGCCTACACACACACACACACCTACACGCACACACACACACACACCTACACGCACACACGTACACACACACACCTACACGCACGCACACACACACACACACACACACACACACACACACGTATTTTTATGGGTTTGTGTGGACTATGTTTTCAGAGTTGTTTGTGTGGACCCTGACTTCCACTATAGCCAGAATGGTGCAAAAATTATGTTTGCCTCTAGGTGGGAGTAGAGATTCAGAGTGTCACCTACAGTATGGGAAAACTCAAACTAAAAGCTTGAATTTATTTACAGTCATTGTGTGGACATACTCCTGTTGCTGGGCAGACACACACACACACACACACACACACACACACACACACACACACACACACACACAGTGACTCAAACTCACACATAGACAATTGTCCTAACCATAGGTTGTCACCATGAAACATGGAGGCACGCACACACACACACACACACACACACACACACACACACACACACACACACACGTGCACACACACACACAGTGACTCAAACTCACACATTGACAATTGTCATAACCATAGGTCATCACCATGAAACATGGAGGCACGCGCACACACACACACACACACACACACACACACACACACACACACACACACACACACACACACACACACACACACACACACACACACACACAGTGACTCAAACTCACACATAGACAATTGTCCTAACCATAGGTTGTCACCATGAAACATGGAGGCACGCACACACACACACACACACACACACACACACACACACACACACACACACACGTGCACACACACACACAGTGACTCAAACTCACACATTGACAATTGTCATAACCATAGGTCATCACCATGAAACATGGAGGCACGCGCACACACACACACACACACACACACACACACACCACACACACACACACACACACACACACACACAGACAAACACACACCTTACACACACACACACACACACACAGACAAACACACACCTTACACACACACACACACACACACACACAGACAAACACACACCTTACACACACAGACACACACCACACACCACACACACACACAGACAAACACACACCTTACACAGACACACACCACACACACACACACACACACACACACACACACACACACACACACACACACACACACACACACACACAGAAATCAGGACTACAGGGAGAGATTGGTGAAAGCCTCCCAAACTCAGGGTGCCATGCGATCAGCACAGCTCTCGTGCACAAACAGGCTAACCTCTCCATCTCCGGCCTACAGGCCCGGCGTCCGACCCCCCGACACAGGATATAAGGAGAAAGCACAGTTAGCAACATGGCTCAGATAAGTCAGGAATGTGTTTTTACTTTATTTTGAAAGACAATCCATTTCCAGGGTGATTATCTAGTCGGTGTTTTAGGTAAAATGGAGTAAAACAGAGCTGAGGGTGGATGAAACATGGCTGTCTGTGTGGAGTGGGTGGTGTTAGTGGAGCATTAGTTCCTTAATGTGTTACGGCTGGATGTGTGGAGAGGAACCAGTGGCGTCTCCACTTCCTGTCCACTCTTACCTTGCTCATCTTGCTCTTACTGTCAGCGGTGAGGAAGGACATGTTGTTGATCTCGTTCATCACCACAAAGTTCTGCTCCTCCCTCTTGAAGTTCTGGAAGTCAGTCAGTAACACAAGAGTCTCTGAGGTTCGCACACTTCTCCTTTCAGAAACGTGACTTTGGACAAAAAACTCCAACATGAAAAACTCTTCAAAATAAAACATTAAGTCTCGTCTGATGTAACATTAGAGAGAAGATGAGGGCGGCTTTTGTTTTAATAACGGGGATGACGTACGTGTGATTTGGACCAGAAGATGAAAACTTCTCCCACCATCCTGAAAAGCTCTTCAGCATCTGGGTCTGGACAGGTCAGCCACCTGGCCCTTTTGATGTAAAGCAGCAGAAGTTCACATGGAGGGTGACGTGGGCGTGTCCCTGTTGTGGATCCAGGTAGCACTCACCTGTTGTTGTCCACGTAGCGGATGAGGAGAGGGTAAAGTGCATACAGGTCCCGACACAGCACGGCAAACTCGTCTCGAATGGTCCCGTTTTCGCGGTCCACCTCGGATTTGCCCTCCATTCGAAGGTGCTCCTCCTCCGCCACCACCTTTCCCGCTCGTTTCTTTAGTTTTTCCATGGTGGGAATGAAGTGGGATTTCAGCATCTCGGGTTTGGCTCTGCTCACGATGGGCTGAGCGAAAACTGGAGCAAGCACCAAACGTGATCAGGTACTTCTCTTTACACCAAACCCGTTTTACAAACTAGAAAGAGATGTCTCGGTCTTCCGCTCACTGACCTGCTAATCTCTTCATCCAAGATGCCTCGTCGATGCCCAGGTTGTTGACCACGATCTTCATGATGCTCCCCAGCAGCTGGTTGAGTTGCTCCGAGGTGACGGCGGTACACAGCTGGCCCTCCTGCTCGGGGAAACTCTCTGGACCCCTCTCCCACCAGCGTGGGAGGTAGTTACACAGCATGGGCAGGGTGATCTCAATCACGTGGGGCATTTCAGTGTAGCGGGCTCCAGACTCAGCTAGGTCGTAGATCTCCTTCATCAGAAGCTCCAGCTCCGGGATGTCAGTGCACAACTCCTCCACTTGGTTGGGAATTCCCAGAACTGGTGAGCGTCAGAAGAAAAACACATAAAACCTTCCTTCCAGCAACCTACAAACACGTCAGATAGAGGTTAGTGTCGTCCGCAGGGTTCCCTTAAAGCTACCATCCAGAGTTTTGCCCCAGTCGTACCCTTTTGGGTGATATAATGTAGGAAGCCTGTCCCATAGAGCCTCATGCAATTTGAACAGAGCACAGCTCAGCATTAGCCCTTAGCGTTACATAGAAAAACAAGTTAAAACGATCTTCAGCTTACTGGTCCTCTCTCTTGGAGTCTTGGTCGTGTAAACGGAGAATGCGTTGTATTCATTCAGAGATGGCTCGAGGAAAGCTACCGGCATGGCGGCCGCCAGATGGGCCAGGCATTCGCCGAGAGCCGGCCGCTGTCTGCACAAACACAAACACAACTATACTCAACCCTCAAGAGTTAGACATGCCACCCACATGACAGAAAAATACACGTTTAACTCATTCACTGCTGGCATATTTTTACTGTGTGGGCGTCGGACGAGCCCCCGCACCGTGAGAGCAAACATCCCAGCTCTGAAGCTGATTTTCATCCGCGTACGTCACACGTCACGTGATCAGGAAGCAGAACATCCACGTGTTAGGAGATCGTTTTGGGCCGCTGCTGTAAAAAAAGTGAGGCGCGAACCGGAAAAGCTTCTGCCGATCACAATTCAACAACGGATTATGAAAGAACGGATAACGCTCGAAACGCGCGGATTCTTCCTGATGTAAGAGGTGAGTCTCCGCTTTGTTTTGGTTGTTTTGGCGTTGACGTCATCCTAGCGCACAACGTTCTGTGACTCTTAAAAAACAGTAAAAACGGCGAGAAACGCTGGCAGCGAATGAGTTAAAATCAAAACGCTGAATAGATTTTTTATTGTAATGTTAGCTAAATGCTAACAGTAGCATACGCTAATGCTAAACCTGAGATGATTTTACTGAAATGTGAAAAAAGATACGTGGGAAAAGACGTTTTTTTGCTCACTTCTCCACATGTGAAGTCTTCACCGTCCCCAGAGAGTAGATGCTGCACATTAAACGATAGCAGGAAATCTGCAGGTCGTCCACTGAGGAAAACAGTCTAAACGGTTAGCTTGGAGCTGAGAAAATGGCACTTTCATTCGTTAGAACGCAGCACTTAGACTCACAAATGACGTCGTCTCCAAACTGGTGCTGGGCGATGTGATCAAACAGGGACGTTAGCACTGGAAGTAAGGCGTTAGTGGTGTAGCTGATGTTCTGGGCCACCCCTTTAACCTAAACAAACACAAAAACGGACATCAAACACGATTTTCATCTCACACCCTTAAAAATCTGGTGGAGTTCCTCAAGGCCCTGTTCTAGGAGGGTCCTGGGAGCTCACTTGTCCAGTCCACATGCTTTCATGGACCTGGAGAAGGCTTAGGATCACGTTGTGGGGTCACTTCTGTCATGTGATGTTTGTTAAACTAAAACCAGATTTGTCTCCGCATTCAAGTGTCTCGTTTACGAGTGATGCAACGATGCATGATGGGAGCTTCACCTTGGAGGTCATCGCTCAGGTCCGGCAGTCTTCCAACCCTCCACCTGTGGCTGGGAGACTTGGATCATTCCTGAATCATGGAAGCAAACGGCTGAAATGAGCTTCCTTCATAGGGCGGCCTTAGAGATAACCGAATGAGCTCCGTTTTTCAGAGAGCCGTCTGCTTGTCTCCCTCTGGAGCTTTTCCTGGGACGTCCCAATGGGAGGAGATGCAATATATCCCCTTTTGTTTTGGAATTCCTTGCAAATTCCAGTAAGCTCTGGAGAGTGGCATTGGGAGGAGGATGCCTGGGTTACCCTAGATTTGTTACGGACATCGGACAGGTGGTAAGTGAATCTATGGGTTTTTATGATTCCCTCGTTGAAATTGGAGGTGACCTATTAACCTTTACCAAGTCCATCTTGGGTCTTTGAGTTGCAAAATCAGGAGTATTAGGGGAAAAGATCCTGATACAACATCAACAAAGTAACGCCTAACATTCATAAAGTCCTTTCTGACATTAGGATTTCTAGGAATGATCTCGGCACAATCCCGTTCCAAAGCGGAAATGAAAACACAGCTGACCTGGTTTCTACTGGACACCTTGCCCAGTTTCAGGTTCTCCACCATCTTCTCGATGTCATCAGCAGCGCTCTCAAAGAACTGCCGCAGGATGGCCTTCACGATCTCCGGGCCAGACTTCATGACGGTCCTGAAAAACGCAAAAACAGAGCATCACCGAGGGCCTCGTTTCCGAGTCTGAGGAGACGATGGAGGCGGTGTGAACAGCTTAGGAGTTACCTGGCATCCAGAGACCGTGACAAAATGTGCAGGCAGTTTACCACGGCAGGAGCATCCGTTCCTAAAGACGGCACATAAAACACGCCGTGTCATCATCGCTCTCCCAACAAACATGCAGAAGCTCGGATTTGGTCCCAAAGGGAGAATTTGTCGTTTAAAAACACAGTCAACTCCCTAATGAGTAGTTAGATATGATGTTTATGTTGTTATTAACCAGTAACACCTACATTAATATGTGTTTATTATGCATTAATTAAGTGTACGAATAAAAATAATGAGCTACGATGTCGTAAGCACATCGGAGATTCGGAAACGGGAGATTTTCAAACAGCGGCTGCTATGATGCACTCCTAATGGGAGGAAAATACGATCCAATCCAATTTTATTTATAAAGCGCATTCACAAGGCATTACAACCAAACAAGGCGCTGTACACTAAAAATGTTGGTTAATTAAACCGGCGCTATACAAACATGTCGAACACAGATAAAAGATAAAAAGGAAATACAACAAAATTCCCAAAAGTAACAGCTAAAAATCAATAAAACACAGGGTGAATAAAAATTAGAAATTTTTTTTTAAAAAAGAACCTCAATAATACGGAAGTCGATAATTGTGGAGTCCATTTTTAAACAGTGCAGATGTGAGTGAGGTTCATAATTATGTGGTATAAGCTAGGTTGAAGTAGTGAGTTTTCAGGCGTGATTTAAAAATGCTAGCTGTTGGTGCTAGCCTCACTAGCAGTGGTAATGCGTTCCACAGCTTCGGTGCACAGACAGAGAAAGCCCTTTCTCCACGGCTTTTTAAACGATCATTGTACTACTTTTAGGTCATTTTACACATTTTTACATCCTGAACGGTTCTGATCTTTTCATAACGAGAAGTGTGCATGCTAACTCCTGTCAACAGGATGCTAACAAAAGGGCTGAAACTGGACCTTTAGCTTCCACCAGCATCACATCTCTCTGCATTTACGTCTCCAGCCGTGTTTCTGGGAACGAACTTCCACTGAGGTCTGGCTCTATCGTGTTTTATGGAGGTTTTGATCTCCAGATGATAATTTTGTTGTTGCATGTTACGGTTGCCAGTCTGGCCAGGGAAGAGCGGGAGCCAGGATCACCCAGCTCTGGTGAAACAGCCTGACACCGTCCCTCCTCCTCCTCTCTCCCGGGCTGCTGAGGAGCACAGCTGAGCTGCATCTTCCTTGTTTGCCAACACCTGCATAAAAGGGCTGTGCCTTCAGCAGTCTAGGAGGCAGCAGTGCAGGGGTTCTGCCGTCCTCCTGGGTTTTGTTTGGTTCTAACCCCTTTTTGGTTGCATTCATTTGGATTTGTTTGAGTTTTAAACTGTGGTAGTTTTTAACTCTTGGTGATACGTTTTTTAAAGGTTAACTGTATTTGGTGCAATTTTACTGACTTTGGTTTTTAAACACCTTCGTGTGGTAAAGCTTTTAAAATAAGCTTTTACCGGGTGTTTTAATCAGTAAATTGTTTGGGACTTTTTATCAACTTTGGGATTTTAAAACACCTTCTGCTCGGTTAAACTTTTAATATAAGTTTTAACCAGGTGTTTTATAGTTGATAATTTGGCTGTGTAATGTTAACCTTTTTAGAGAGATCTGTTTGCTTGTGTTTTAATACCTTTTTGTTACAAAAACCCATTTTAAACTCCTCCGCAAGTTCTTAGGTTACCCCCATTGTTCACATTTTTACAACACCTGTCGGGGACGTAACAAGTGGGGGCTCGTCCGGGATTTTTAATAACAACAGACCGTGAAGGAGTGCCAAAATCCCCTGGTGGTGGTTTTAATGGTGTTTTGTTCGTTTTAAATGGTTTTAAGCAGCAGATGAAGTCGTGGATCACTGGCGGGTGCATCTGGAGGCCCCGCCCCCGCAGGAGGATCCAGCCAAAGATTAAAGAAGTGGACCCAGAGATGACCCCCACAGGCAGGCTCAGATGTTGCACCTAGCAGGTTAGTGTTGGTGATTTACTTCATCATCTTCTGTTCGGTTAAGCTTTTAATACAAGTTTTAACCAGGTGTTTTATAGTTGATAACATTACACAGCCAAATTATCAACTATAAAACACCGGGTTAAAACTTATATTAAAAGTTTAACCTAGCAGAAGGTGTTTTAAAATCCTGAAGTTGATAAAAGTTCCAAAACAATCCACTGACTAAAAACACCTGGTTGAACTTATTTTAAAAAGCTTTACCACAAGAAGGTGTTTAAAAACCAAAGTCAGTAAAATTGCACAAACAAAGTTAACCTTAAAACCGAACACAAACATCAAAAGATCCCACTGGATCATCCCAAACTTCTCACCAAGAGTTAAAAATGACCACAGTTTAAAACTCCAACGAATGCAACCTAAAAGGGGTTAAAACCAAACAAAACCCAGGAGGACGGCAGAACCCCTGCACTGCTGCCTCCCAGACTGCTGAAGGCACAGCCCTTTTATACAGGTGTTGGCAACCAAGGAAGATGCAGCTCAGCTGTGCTCCTCAGCAGCCCGGGAGAGAGGAGGAGGAGGAGGGGCGGTGTCAGGCTGTTTCACCAGAGCTGGGTGATCCTGGCTCCCGCTCTTCCCTGGCCAGACTGGCAACCGTAACATTGCATTTTCCTCCTTTTCTGTCCAGCCGTTGCACCCGACCGTGTCAGCAGCGGTGCAGCGTTAACTCATGTAAACGGCATGAAAGCCCGTCTCACTGGAAGCAGCTGCTGCATGAGCGCTTAGAAGTTACTGACTAAATAAAAACATGGCGGAGAAGCGGGAATAATGATGGTTAAGCATCTACTGACTAAAAAGAGCCAAGCTGGCAACACATCCGCACTGAGCTGCAGAGCTGCGGAACAACAAAAGCCGTTACAGATGTTCCTGCTTCCGCTGCATTCGTACGGATTTAAAACCGTCTAACTCACAGAAAGCATTCAAGCCAAGCAGGAGCTGAGCTGAAGAGAAAGAAGCATTAAAAGTGAGTGGGGAGGAAATGAGACACGGGTGGACGGACAGGCGTGGATCTGCTCATCACTGCGTGAATGTAAAGGCAGGAAGAAGGAAACAGAAGAGGACAGAGATCAGACGCAGAGGGACACCATGCAGGTTCCTTACCAAAGAGAGAAACTCTGTGCCTCACCAAAGCAGCCAACTTACAGAAGATGCTGAGGCAGGAGGAGAAAAGAGGAGAAGCAGGGACAGGAAGGGAGAATGGTGAGGGTAAAACAGGGCAGGTCACATGTTTGGGCACACAGAAAGTAAAGGAGAGGTCCAGGAATAAACAGATTTTACAAAACAGGAGAGAGATGGACGGACATGGCAGAAGGAGGAAAGTGTCGCCCTAAAGGGAGAACGTTAATCTGCTCCACCTACCTGGCGATCATCTCCTTCTCTTTGTTGGAGGAATGCCCTCCACTTCCCAGAATCTTAGCAGGAGTGGAGAGGAAGTAGAGACAGTGGTTCTTAAAGTACTGATTAACCAGCGGCAGGAGGATCTAGGAGAGAGAACCCGCTGATTAACACAACAACAGCGTGATGCACCAAAAGGGTCCGTTTTTCACCATCTGCACCGACCAACGTGATAACCTTTTATCTACAGCATAAATCCACTTTCTATGTGGCGTTCTAAATCCAGAAGGTTCTGCTCAGCGTGAGCTGACTAATGAAGACAAAACATTCAAACACACACTCTGTCCCAAGGTCCTGCAGAAGCCAGACGACATTCTTCACTCTGAACAAGTGAAGACTCCACCATGTTACAGTTCTAAGTTACATAATCATGTGATGAATGAACAGGATGCTTAAATCAAAGGTTTGAATAATCTGAATATTGTTCTTACAATGATCCATTTTATCACAAATCACTATGTGTTGGTTTAACAAGTGAATCGTTGTTTACACTCACACACGTTACAGTAAGATACTCGTTAAGGTTAAAAACATCTCTGTATCTGAGGAGGGCGTGGCTTTCTGAGGGAAGTTGGTAAATACTCAGAAACATGTCGAATTCAGATCGGCCAAACTCGGCCAGAAATCATAACAAAGTACTTTAATAAAACAAGAATTACTTCCTGAGTAATTCAGTTTCTCGTTGACCCTCGAACCGGCCAATTCGGGAAAGAAGTGTTTTTGAAGCCATCTTCTCCTTCGACCTCCTGACAAAGCCTCTCTGCAACGCTGCGGCTGATGCCAGACAACCGGCTCTTCTAAGCGCCAAGCAAACATCAACACTGCCTTCACCTGGAGGGATCTCAGACTGGACGGGTCCTATCGGAGCCGTCTACGGGTTCCTGATATCAGAGTTCACTCCACCAGCAGTGACCCGCAACCCCCCCCCCGGATCGAACGAGAACCTCCACACCAAGGGTGCATAGACTTGGCACGACAGATTGCTTCTGATGCTGTTTATAAATAAACAACTCTCTAGTTTATAACAAACAACAAATTATTTTACACCCAGATTTCACAGTTTCTCTCAGAAACAAAGAAAGGCTGCTGCAACATCTAGCTTCCCTCACAACACCTCACATCCACCACATCACATCTCATTATTCATATCTTGTCATGTATAAAATATTAGTTTAGGAAAATAATTAAATTCACTTAATAAACTATATATATGACTCTGTCTAAGTTAATACGAAGTGTGTTTATGGTCCCTAAAGAAGTAAAGAACCCTAGAATCTTCTGATTAAACATTCAAAGATCAATCAGGTTGATATTTCATATTTATATGGAATAATCACATCTTATTGGTCATAATTAAAATGTATTAATTGCTACAACATAAACAAAACAAATTAAAAATAAACATACACACAACAAAACATTGACTGGACACTGCTGTAAGCCACAACCATGATAGAAATATCAAATTTACAATCATACAAAATGCTCGTTGTAAAAACGCACGGCAGCAGGAATAAAAGAGTTCCTAAAACGTTCAGTGGGACAACGGGGCGTTAACATTCACCCACTAAAAGAGCTCCCGAGATCCTTAAAAACCTGATGAAGGGGTGGTCCTCCAGAGACGTAACTGTCTTAAGTTTACTCTTCATCCTTTTGTCGAGGATCATGTCAAAGGAGTCCAAGCTTTGCCCAACCACTGAGCCAGATATTGTTGATCCTGCTTTTGTCCTCAGCAGCGAGGCTGCTGCCCCAACACAACACAGCATAAAACAACACACTGGCCATGATCCCCTGATACAACACATTCAAGAGCATCCTACTTAGATCAAAGGACCTCAGCTTCCTAAGAAAAAACAGTCTGGACTGGGCCTTTTTACCAGCATCGCTGTTCCTTTTCCAGTTTAACTTATCGTCGAGGTACACCCCTAGATATTCATGTCTCCACAGTTTCTACGGGTTGGCCTTTGATGACGACTGGAGAGAATGTTTGTTTTTTCTTTCTAAAATCAATAACCAGCTCTTGTGTTTTGCCAACATTGAGTTGTAGAAAATTTGCATCACACCATCTAACAAAGGAGCTAACTTCCTCCCTGTAAGCCAGGTCGTCACCCCGGGAGATCAGGCCCAGTAGGGCAGTGTCATCGGAGAACTTCTGCAGGTGACAAGATGGTGAACCGTGCCTATAGTCAGCTGTGTACAGTGTAAATAAAAAGGTGATAAAACCGTCCCCTGTGGCGCACCAGAGTTTGTAAAAATCAAGTCTGAGCATTACGCCCTCACAAACTGAGGCCTGTTAAAGATAGTCTAAAATCCAAGCAGTGGTGGAAGTGTGCAGCTTAAAATCCTGTAACTTATTACTTATGGGGCTGGACGGTATTAAAAGCACCAGAAAAATCAAAGAACAGAAGTCGCACTGAACTGCTGGCTTTTTCACGGTGTTTGTAAATAACGTGCAGCAGATACAGAAGGGCATCGTCCACACTCACACCCTTCCTATATGCAAACTGGAGGGGGTCTTGGAAGGAAACAACCTGTTCTCTAAGGCATTTAAGGACGACTCAAAAAGTGTGATGTCAACGCAATAGGCCTGAGATTGGACAACGTACAGCTGACGCCTGTTTTCTTAGGGATCGGCACAAGACAAGAAGGTATTACAGGTAGTACAGGTATTTTAGCAGCAGACAGGGACAACATGAAGATGTAGTGGAAGACAGCTGCGAGCTGCTCTGCACAAACTTTAAGGGTGCGCGGATGGACACCATCAGGGCCTGCTGCCTTGTTAGGCTCTAGCTGACTAAACTGCTGCTGGACATCCTCAACCCTGAAGCTAATCTCTGGGCATGCATTCCCAACCTGATCAGTGGCAAGTGCCGATTTAAGTTTGTTGTGTTCATGCGTAAAATCACGCACATCAAATGTGGCAAAAGACTGGTTCATCTCATTCACATCCATCCTGGTGCCGTGTAAACGTGTCTTACCCTCACAGCCAGTCATGGTTTTCATCCTGTCCCAAAGACACTTCGAATCAGAACCATCAATAGAGGTTTCCATTGTAACAGAATGGAATGACTGTTTTTCCCTCTCCTAGGACACAGGACTAGTCTGCATGAGATACGGTCTCAAGGTCTCATGCATTCCTTCTAACCTGCTTATTTCCAGCTCAACAGAAGAACGAAGAATGAACTCTTTTCTTTTAATTAATCAAAGAACTCTATTTTAATAAAGCTAATCCATCAAAGTGTTAGTCAATAATAAGATGTGACCAATCTGTGAAATCACAATATTAATTACATTATTATAATCCTATAGAATATAATAAGTAATATGACTTTAAATGTTTCCACCAGGACTGATCTCACGTAGCGTTAAGAGACGACACATTACTTTTACTGATCCAATCAGAATCTGCCAGATCTGACGGAGGCGTGGTTTTGGTGGTGTTTGGTAAATCTGTCATCTTTTCATTCGACCATTAACCAAAACATCGGAAGTATAGAACTATGCTCACGTCATCTTTAACGCCAGTTCAAAGCGTTCTAGAGAAGTTGTCGGAGTGGCCAATCCGTAACTTTCCTCTTCAGCCGAAATAACCAACGACAAGCTGGATAAAATCTGGTGCTGTTCCACCTGCTGCAACGGTTCCTTTCAGAATAAAAGCTGAACCATCAAGACCCAGGCTCGGGTCTCACCAGACGCCAACAAATTGTAGCGACCCGGAAGTATCTCACAGACTGGTCTGGTCGGCAACCGCTGCTTTTCCTACCGGCTTCGGTTCCAGAGAGGGTCAAGCTGGACCTCGACATTCCTGATCTAAAGGGGACTTCCTGAAGGGTAGATAGACCGGCAAAATGGCGTTGAATGTGTTTATGAACCTCCTAACCAAAGCTTAACGAGAAGACATCACCTTCAGTTCCCACCAGAACTAATCGCAGCTTCGGATTTGCTGGTTCTGAGCAACATCACACGTCATCCATCCACCGTCTCATCCACCTCAGTTATACCGTACATTTAGTGTTAAAGTTAGTCTAGTTTAATTTGTTTTTAATAAATCTTTAACCTTTTAACTCGACTCTCTCTCTTCTGTTGTCTCTGAGTGAATACGAAGCTGTTATCTAATCCCTGCAATAAAAAGTTCCAGTCTTCTGGTTTAAATAACTCACAGATCCGTAAGGTGGATTTCATATTTCCTATGGGATCCTACGCCTCACGGCTCATTAAATAACATGTCATTTAAATCATTACACCACCTTATCGTTATATTGCTGTTTACTTCGTCGGATCAGCGTAGCAAGTCACCGTGTCATCAACATCATCACGTCACATCCGTCAGTAAAAACAGACCAAAACTAAACTAAATCAAATAAAACACATTTTAAGCATTGGTGTGTGTGCTGAGGTCGGTTGGCTGTGGTGGCCATCTTGATTCAGACCGTCTCCCAAAGCTAACGGGTAACGTTTCGGTCCCTCTCCGGATTAATTAGCAGAAGCTCACCTTGGCAAAGAACTTGATCTCCTGTTCATGAGGAGACTTCTCCACACGCCCGCTGCTAACTACGGCCTCTGTTTAGACACAAAGCAAACTTCTCATTGTTTTACACAGAAATAAGCAGAAGTTTCTATGGGAACAAGCAGGGAGGGGCTTCAGGGGCCACCGTACCAAGATGAGCGATGAATTCCTGGGCGATGTCCATCCATTTGAGAAGCTTCTGGAGGAATCCGTATGCAAAACGCTTCTCAATGGAAGAAATGTCCTGCTCCATGTCTTTCAGGCCCCTGAGGACGGGAAAAGACTAAAGCAGAAGCACAAACAGAACCGTCAGAAGGTACGTGTGGCTCACCTCGTCACCGCATATCCGTTAAGCTGCAGGAACTTCAGCAGGTCCTGGGCTTTCTCCCTGTCCCGGGCCTTCTCCTTAGCAGTCAGGGTGTCATACGGCACAAGCAGGGGATGGGTGCCGCCGCCTGGCAGGAGGCACGGGTGGGATCAGCTGATTGTGTTTAAAACGAGACTCTGTGAGCGTGAAACCTGCCTTTGGCCTGCAGCTCCAGCTTCTTCTTCCTGCCCCAGGTGTTGTGGTAGTTCTCTGCCAGCTGCTCAGCCATGGACTGCACGGAGAGGAAAATCTAACAGATGAGCCCAGATCCGATGGATCCTCTAAAAAACCAGATGGATGTACGCACCTGCAGCTCTCTGGACAACGCCATCCCTGAGATGTCGATCGGCTGAGGGTTGTAGCCGTGGCTGGGATCATAGGTGGCCTGGAGGAAAAAACTAGTTTAAGGGATTTCTGTTGAGATCTCCAGTTTATTCAGTAAAACAAAATGGATTCTGTCAGATTTTATCCAGTTTTATATCTTTAGAAATCAGCATTCCTCGCGACGTTTCCCCTGAAGATACCTGACGTCCTCCCTGGGACCACCTTTACCTGAGCTGTTTGGGAGATCTTTCGTGCGGTCGCCTTCTTCTCAACCTCCCCCTCCCCCTCTCTGGCTTTCTCCAGGGTCCACTCCCACGCCAGCATGGCCTTGATGGACTCTTTGATGGGCCAACGGTAGATCTCCTTGTCCTGAAACCAGAGGAGAAGGTACATTTCCAGATGATTGGGATGCAGAGAACACGCGGGGGAGGAAAGCTCTCACCTTCTCAGAGAAGGTTTTGTACGGCCGGAGCATCGGGTGGGTTTTAGCGTCCTCGTCCAACACCTCCCCGTAGGTCCAGTTGTTTTGAATCTGAACAGGGATTCAGACCGTAAGGAAACCAAACGTCATTTCAGTCTAACTTTGTTATTCTTTGTAACTGACCTTTTCAAAAGCCCACTTATCGTGAGTGTGTTCTGCATATTTGTTGATGAACGCATCCAACCGCTCCGGTATGATGGTGCTGCGAGAGAATGTCTTCACGATTAGAGACTCGAACGTGACATTTTATTTAACAATACCCAAATGTAGTGTGTAATAACCTTAAATGACATCGAAAAAGCCGTTTTAGACCAACTGTTATCTATTCTAGTTTCTTTATGTTAGATAAGCTTTACTTAAGCAGGTAATAAATGTCTGACTGAGATTTTAGGGACACCCGGCCAAGAAACGCATCACAAACACTCACATGTG